AGAGATAACAGCACACATTTACTGAGAGGACAGGGGGTTGGTTCCTGAACAATGGAAGTACACACAGATGGATTCGGTGAGCACATTTTCAGCTATAACTCATTGTGCCTCCTTGGGTGGGAAAAATGGATTTCAAGTAAGTATTCCTTTCTGTGCCCATGAAAAAATATAATGCAGGAAAGCTGAGCGGCAAATTTAGAAAGGCAAAAATAGTCACTCCACATCATACAATGCTGAAGCTAAGCAGTAGCGGGAGCTGAGACACCAGGCCACAATGCATTCATGTAAGGCAGTGATTCACTTTCTCAGGAAAAACATTCATTCTACATCTGACACAACATTTTAGAAGATGTTTCTCCTAAAGGGGAGGGGGACATGAAAATATCTTCATTATAGCTGAGAAACGGATGAAGGCTCAACTGAGTTTCCGGAGAAGCTATTTCTTTACCCATCCACTCTCTCCTAAGGCACTAACAGTTTTTGATGAGAGGGTTTAGTCCAAATCTCTCTCTCTCCCAAGAGTAGCCGGATCTCAGGGAGATTATGCAAACTTTGTAAAATAGCCATAGGCAAGCCAAGACAAGCAAGTCCCTTAACTGGCTCAGTTATGCCAACCAGTGATAAAATCAGAATTTTCTGACAGCTACCATTTCAGATTATTTGGGGAATGATTCAGGTACGTAAGCCAAAGCATCCAGGACCACTTTAGACACCCCAGGCAATATGAATAATCCACGTTGTAGCTGACAAGACCTAATAGAGACTTCTGCCCGTATAGCCAAGTAGCTGGAGCACAGGCTGTGAACCTTATGGCAACTTAAATTACTTTAGACATCTCTGTTTTGGCGCCTGAATTGCTCTGCTGGTGTTTGCAGATCACAGTAGAGTGCTTTCTTCCTTCTGTATCCTCACCTTGTACAAGGGGATGTGATATTGGAAACCTGAAAAGTGGCACCATTAGGTATAGAAAGGCATTTAATTAGAATTCTTCAGCTGCCTTCTCTAACAGTAGAAGGGCATCTGGGCTCTAAGGTCCCAAAACACCACCAAGCAGCTCCTTTACCCAAAAAACATTTCCCCCTGCCTCAAGATTCTTAACAATGTCCTTTCATTTTAATAAGAACGGGAATCAAACCCCTTGTAAATGCTGTAATAGCTCAGCCTCAAAGGCCTCCTCTAATAAATCATAGTTCTCCTCGTAAACCTGTGGCTCTCTTTGCAGATTCCTCACTGCATTTCACCCTAAATGTTGTCCTCCTCTGAACTTTGCTGAGTTTTGGGAGATGTTCAGTAAACGAAACAGACAATTTCTTCTGCCATGAAGGAACTAGAACTTTCAGAAATTTTTGAGAAGATCCTTATTCAAGCTTTCTGGGTAAGTATTTCCGTCCTGGGTTTCAAGGGCAATTTATTCATTGAGCTTAACCTTATTCCCATTACAGCCAGGCCTCTGTGGTAGTTTTATTCTGTTTAGTTTCTCATGTTATTTCCAGAAATTACTTGTAGTTCTTATTTCTATTAACTGTTAAAACCCACTTATTTTGGCCAAATTGAAAATTAATTTAAAAACAAAGCTTTTTATGTTTTTGGGCTGTTTTTTGATTATTATTATTATTATTATAAAACAATATCCACACAAAGCATTATATTGCTTGCAAGTACACAATGGCAAGTTAAAAATAGGAAATGCTGTTAAATTCATGTTTATGAGGAATACGCTTGTTTATGCCCTTCTATGCAGATACCACAGAGAAGGCAAAAGCAGCTTTTTTAAGTGCCTGCCTCACCTAAGTGCCAATGCCTCTGTTTCAGGAGTCGAGCATAAAGATTACAGTCCCAGTTTTCCCAGTGCAACCCCAAGCGAAACCAACAGAGTAATGGTGTCGCTCTTAGCACCCAAAATCCTTGGCTCAGCATTTTCTAGCAGAAGACCCTGTGTTGTACTGCCTGTCCTCTGGCCACCACTCCACTCCATCACCATCAGACCAAACAAGAGATACCAGGCTCTAATCCTGTTGACATCGACCATGGAAGATCAATGGCCCTCCATGACAGTGTGAAGTCGGAAATTTTGTCCATGTTTTGAAAGAAAAAATGAAAAACATTCTTTAGCCTTTACATTTTCTGAAGAAAACCAAATTACACACACACACACACACACACACAAATTGCCACCAACCAACCAGTAGCTCTCTGGAGCTGCTCAGAGGTCTGGTGTATTGAAAATATTCTCTTGGGGTAGGGATTAGTAGGCAAACGGCAGGGGAAAGAAGTCAAAGCTGCAAGATAAATTGGGTTTATTACAGAAGCTGTAATTTATCATCACAATATTGCCAACACAACTGTAGAGAATTGTATATAAATTTAATAAAACAACTGCTATATTACATCTATTATCCAGGAGTCAGGTTCCGTTATCTTTTCCTCCTTGAGAAGAAGCTTTTTCTGCAAATAATGCCACTGAATCTGGCCATTTGTATTTTGGCCATTTATGCTCTAAAAGACCACCTATATTATCTTACATGCAAACTACAGTATAAAAAACAGTGTATATCAACATATTGAGAACATAAAATTACACACTGAAGGTGAGAAGTGAAACGTTATATAGTTCCCTAGAGGTGGCAGATCCCTCTGATGTTCAGCAAAGACATAAAGGCAGCTGAAGCAGTGAGAGCTCTAGTTCAGCAAAATACATATAAACATGAAAGACATCTCTTCTGGAAAAATACACAGTTAAAGTGCCACCGTCCCCTCCATGCACCTGTCAAAACTGCTTGGGGGTTGTAGGAGTGAAGGAGAAGGGGGCTTGAGGAGAGAAAAGCAGCCGCTGCAAAATAAGCAGAGTATTTTATTAGAGAGTTATCTCCTTCTTGCAAGAATGAGTGCTCGAATGGATAATACCTTTCTGTGAAATCCAGGGTTCTGGCTTGATATTAAGAAGAGGCTCTTACCTTATAGGATTATCCATTCTTGATACTGTGAGAAATGCTGCTAAGTTCGCGGTGTAGGAAGAGCACACGATAAGGGTGAAGAGCCACCAGCTTCCCATTACAATGCGCATAGCCACAGAATTGACGGTAGATTCACCCCCTACAAATAAGCAGGGAAAATGAGGGTCTCTCAGCAGCTTCCTTTTACGATCACCCTCTGTGTGCCCTGTTACGTTAAACTTTGTTGGAGCTACTTCTCTGCATTTCTGCTTCCCCTCCAGACCGCCCTTTCACTGTGAGAAAAGCTCTGCTTCCGTTAAGACTGATAATTTACATTTTCTCCGGTCAACATCTTACCCTGGATACTGTTCTAAAAAATTATCTTTCAAAATATTTCCCCTGAGAATTATTGAGGATCAAATCTACAGAACATGAAAATTATTCTACATAAAGAAAGTTTAATGGTGAAGCACGACTAATATGCAGGAATTAAATCATTACTGTTCAGAATATAGTAATATTCTGTTTTCAATGACCATTTTAGATTTGGAGATAAATCACAAACCTGTCCAATGGTTTGTGTGCTATCTGTGCTGTATTTAAATCTGCAAAGACTGAAGCATTAGTACCATTACTTGTTACTCTTTACAACATTTCAAACAATGTGAAGATTTCTTTCTAGCAGGCTTCAAGCACGGTTATGCTTGTACATCGTTGGAGACCAAACCTTACCAAACAGCTGGTGCCAGTCACTTCAGCATATGTTTGTTCTGATTATATCTTACTGTACTTAAACACATCAGGGATGCCACCTTAATGAGATGAGGGGCCGAGTTTCATAGAAATAGTAAGGATTTTCCAGCTGAAGCTTTATAAGCTTGCAATCACAATGACAAATATGTAGAAAAAAGTTAACAACATACCCATATGTTAGCATTCAACAAAACCTGCCTTCCAAGAACAGTATTAACATTATAGATCTGGGACAAAAACTGTGTGGGCAGACTCTGCAAACAATTATTTGCAGAAGGAACTTTGTTAATGGTAGCAATCCTACTGAGTTCCATAGGATTAGTCCTATGCCTAGAGATTCCTGAGTGGAAAGTGAGTTACATGACTACAAATCATTTTCCTATTCAGTTCAAAGAATCAAAAGATAAACTGTCTCACATTAGTTCAAAACCATAAATTTCTAAAATTAAACTTAAGCAATTAGAAAAAGGTGCCAGTTTCAGAGTCGGAGAAATGTAATTCTGCACCAAGCAGCTCTGTAGTTTATTTATCACGCAATAATTTTCCCAAAGTGGAAAAGCCTGCATGGAGTGGTTTTTCTTAACTTACTAAAACACAGAAAAGCAGAAGATAACTCCTCAAACTTACCTACCTCTTCCCACTTTTCATCAGTTGGGCTAACAGAACGTATTACCTCCCCCTACGAGCCTTCTCTTTCACCTTTGGACCATTCTGGCCAAGACTAACATGTCCTGACCTGCTTTACCCAAGGCAGAACATTTCTGAACATCCGGCAGTGGTGTCTGTAAGAGGGTAAGTACCTTGCTGAACAAAGGCGCCGTACACAACCCAGATGGCACTGTGGAGGGTGGAGGAAGCTGAAGGGCTTGGCTGGGAAGCGTTCTGTGCCCTGACCGCCTGGATGCGGTTCAGGACAAATATCAAGACACCAACTATAGGGATGGCCGCAGCAATGCAAGCCCACACCGCAAAGTCGAAAGGAGCAAAGAGAGAGAAGATGTTGATTTTTTCTTCGGGCTTTTTGATTAAGATCCCCACAGAATAGTCCATGTACCGCTTGCTGAAGTCCACAACGCTCTCTCGTTCTGGTGTTATAGTGATGGCTGAGATGGCTAGGTCTGCTCTCTGCGAGATAAACGCAACAGATCAGAAGTCTTTTACCATGAATTCTGCCAGTGTAAGCATTAAAGAGAAGTTTTTTGAGAACAAAGTGACTCCATGCATTTCTTTCTATAACACATTCAGACAAATTAAAATTAATTGTCTAAAAATAAAAGCTGAATAATTTGAACGCTAATTAATTGCACTTGTCTAAAGCAAAATAGTGAAACATAACATGCCAAGGTATTCTAGAAAAAAAAGCGTCACCCTGACTCCTCTCTGGAATGAGTGTGATTTGTTTAACCTTTATCCCTCACTTGTTTTCCAAAGGATGCCTAAAACTCCAAACCATATTAACCTGGTACACTTCAAGCAGTAAGAAACAAACACCATTTATTTAGTTTGCGTATTCGATAGCAGGGTGCAAAGAGCTAATGTTTGTTGTTCTCCTTGCAGAGTTGCCAACTGCCCATATTCATGAAGGGATTTCATACAACAACTGGGGGAAAGATTTTGTTTGTTTTTTACAATGAATAAAACAATTGCAAAAACTGGTAACTGGAAGAACGCACCAAAAGCAACTTAACTCCTGAAACTGCTTTGACCTCAACATTTAAAGAGAGTATGTTGTACACATAAAGGGTCCTTAAAGAATATGCAAACTCAATGAAAGATAAAACAGGAATTCATAAATAAGATTCCCAAAGCTTTTAAAGAACTGGAATTAGATTTTTAATATTTTTCCATCTTAATAAAAAGAGTTCTCTTCAACAACCAGAATGTACTTTTTGTTTCCTATCTCTCCAATTTGTTGGAAAAGTAAAGCAAATTTTAGGTGAGGGAGGTCTGCTTTGAAATTCGTTGGTGGAAAAGCTAGTAGCAGAAATACCGTTAAAAAAATACCACAATAAACACTTTGTTGCTTCAAAGAATCCAATTTCCAAAGAAATTTAACAGGATTTCTTACCACATTTTCAAGTCAATGAAATTCAAATAGCTTATGTCAATGCAAAAAAAGTAAAAAATTCTTTATATGTCCTAGCACCAACCAAGAATATCCCATTATCATACACACATTTGCTATTGCTTTAATTGCTTCTATTTCTTTCTAAACATCTACTTACCAGATACGGAGCCGCCTACTTACTAGATAATGAGAAAGCTTTCACTTTCAATAACTCCACTGCAGAAGAGTAACCTTTTCTGCAAAGTGCAGCAACATGGAATATTAATTCCTTTGATTCTCCTTCTTGATTAACATTTGTCCCATGTCAGATAGTGAAAACATGAACAAAATACACTCTAATTTCATTCTCCAGGAGATTCTAAGCTACGGACTTTCCCCATTTACTTTAATGGACTTCAATTAACTTATTCCCGATTTGCAAGACTGTAATTAAGAAAAGAAATTTGATCCTCTGTTTTAAATGAATGAATAATCTTGAGATCAGTTTAAATTCTGGTCCTTCAAAACACTTCTTTATGGTATATTACTGAGAACCCTTTTTCTGTTTTGGAGTCAAACAGTTGGTCATTATCAAACACATTGTCACGAAGTGACCCAAGTAAAGTCATACCTACAAACAAGTATCAAAGGCATAATGACAAAAATTATAATAATAGTAATTAATAGTTTAAGAAGAATACATTATTTTTTTTTCCATCTTCTGTAGTCATTCATTCACACACACACGTGTGTCCGCTCTTATTCTTACAACTATGTAAACACACATGTTTACACTGATATAATTTATGTTGCAAACCATTGGGAGTAAACAGAACAGCCTCTCTAGTTCCTATCCTGTGTACAGGATCTTAAATTGCACAGTTTACACCACACAAACCACACATAGCTCAGAAGAGTTCTGCACTGGTCCCTTCATCCTAATTCATTCTCTTGTAATTTGGAATGGAGGAAGGGGAGAATTTAAACAACCCCCTTACAAAGCTTTGATGCCTGACTCCAAAGAGCGTTTTTTTGTTTTGGTTTTGGGGTTTTTTTAATGCAGCTTCTTCTCTGTGTACCTTGTTAATGAGTTCTCCAATCATGCCATTCCAAGAGCTGTTTTGAAGCTGCTGTCCATATTTGCCATCAGGAGCTTGATATATCTCATACTTGAAGCCCAGATTCTTGGCAAGCGCATCCAGGACATCAATTGAAAATCCTTTATATCGTTTTGGTTGCCCAAGTATGTTCTCCGCCACCATCACAAAAGGTTCTTCCTAAGAACAAAACAATATCTTAACTGAAACTTGAAATGAGTTTTTAGTTTGCTTCTCTTGGCAAAAGAATGTTTCCTGAGTTAATTCTGGACAACTTGGCACCGATTTTGAGACATTCATAACCTTATGAGGCAAAAGCTGTAGACCAGGTGAGATGCTATGAGGCATCCCAACCAGACACCAGTGCTTCAGCACCTGAGGCCTGTCCTTGGCCTTGGGCTTCCCACAGTTCATGAGAAGAGGCAGAGAGTCCAGAGAACAATTCAGCCCCCCCCCCCCCCTGTCCGCAGGATTAATTGCTCTCTCAAGTACCTGCCTCTTCTCACTGACTGTAAAGAGAACACAGATACCTACCTTAGATGTTAAGCACGTGAGTCCTAGATAGGAACATTACTACTGTCCATCTGTCTCAGAGCATATCGGATTTAGAAAGCCCTCTTTTACAGACAATAACTAATCTTTTATCCAGGAGATATACTGAAACAAGAGCTAAAAATCATGCATTTTGTGAATATTTAAAATTTTGAAAATTCAAAGAATAACTTTCATGGTTACTTGTTCCTGGACTATTTTATATCAAAGTATATTTTGGCTCCAAGGAAATGCAGCATTTTGTGGTGTGTTTTTTCTGTCACGCATGGGCTCTCCTACAGGGGAATGCTGGCACTGCCATTGGCACATCCATCGCAGTTGGAAGCCTTTGCAACCTGGTACTAACATTCTCGTGGAAGGGATCTGCTCACCTCCCACGTAAGCTACATCATAACCTCACCTGTCACCAGACAGAGGAAAGAAAATTGGGGTCTGGGAAGAGCACCTTAATGACCTTATGCAGTATTTCTTATTGGTACCACGATTCAGAAAAAGAGAAATAAAAATCACAGAAAGACATCACATTCTGCAAGCTGCAAACTACAGTATCTTAGGCAGGGAGGCATTCAAGCCCTAATTTGCCCTTCATTTAGCACTTAGCTGACAGGAGATCTGCTACCATTCTGGATACTAACAGGCAGTAGTCCCAAAAGCGTAATGATTTTTTGGAGAGACTACGCCTTTCTAGAAGATATAGTTTATCTCAATGGGAATTTATGAGCCTGATGGAAGAAATACTTGATTAAATTTTACAGCCCGCAGTGTACAAGAGCCAAGATTAGATTATCATAATTGGCCCATCTGATCTTAAAATCCATGAAGTGCTGGAAACTGCATAGTTTAGTTAGAGTACGGTATCTGGAGCGCTCCCCGGTGCACTCAGGCCCTGTGCTGGTTCCATGTGCAATAGGAATTACAATGCAGGAAAACAGCATAAGCAAACAAATGTTCACTATCCCTGACAGTGCACGCTTCACATAAAATAATAAAAGGCCATCATCTACCCTCCTTGCTTATGAAACCAATCATCCTGAAATACAGAACTGAAAATAGAGGAAAAACAGGGAGGGAAGTGCCCAAAATACTCAGCTACGTTCTTTTTATTTTGAGCATTTGTTTCCTGAACTCAAATAGGATCATACCAAGACAGTCACCACTTTGAGTGTCAGTCCTTGTAAGTCATTGCCCAGGCGTCGCTCTTGTAGACTACCATTCAGTCCTTTCTCAGAGTCCCACGTTGCCAACTAGAACAGAAAGTACAGTGAGTCTGAAGGACTGTTAGGCAGAAATCATTCGATATTTACATAAACATTTAGCAGTAGCTTAACCAAATCCAGAACTGATACAGAGAGGATAAGAGAAGTGTGTGTTTTTAATGCAGAATGAAAAGTAGAGAGATTCAGAGTACAGACATAAACAAGTACCTTGCCTGAATGAGTTTCCATCAATGCCTGTAACACGACTGGGCTATTATCTGTAGTATTTGTCATATTATTACACTTAGATCACTCTGATATGACATTTCTCTCCAGTAAGTTTATATTGCCTGACAGTCCTCAGGATTATCTGTGGTCTCACTATCCCACATTTCCCTCTCTGCTCAGATCCCCTCCTACTTTTCAAATCATTCCTTACTCCTTACCAAAGACTGACCTTTCTTCCTGCTGCATAACGTTCTTGTTCTCTGATGGTCATAAATTCTTGACACAGACTCTATGGTGTCAAACCACAGAGTCTCTTCTCTCTCGGACTTTCTTCAGATCCTATCTCAAGTCCTATTTTCTCTCTTCTTGCCCTACTTCTACCTCATCAGTTAAAGAATGACGGTCTCTCAAGTTCCCAGGCTACCGATGATCAAATATCTCATATCTACCAGTACTTCATGCATCTGCTAGAGGTACCAGGATGCATGTTTTCAGGATATCTCCCTGGAATATTACACCTAAATATTTTATTTTTCAATTAAATATATCGCTTTAAAAATTAATTTTACTGCATTTTCTGAAGAGAAATGCAGTACAATTCAATAGAGCAGGTTCAATAGAAAAGTCAATCTTAAGTGACCTTTGGATTATTCAAACTAAATATGCTCTTCAGCAGCAGAAGTCAGACACTCCTTTTGCCTTCCAACAGAATCCGTGGTGTCATTTTGTTCAGAAGAGTCATGAATGGTATCAAGTAGAAACTGTTTCCCTCTTTTTTTTCAGCTCTACTCTTAAACACCAATACTATGCTCACATATGTGGAAGCAGTGTTGTTAGCTGAAGGCATGCCCTGTAGAAATTAAACACAGTCCAAGATCTGTGAAATGTGACTTCTTCCTGCCAGAAGCTAATTTTCATGTAACAAGTCAAAACCTTCTTGGAAAGAACTTATTTCACTGAAAATGCCTATGGCTAGATGTCCTACATGATTTATTTCTACGACTTCAGCTTTATCCTAAAGCCTCAAAAATCAAACCAACGGATAAAATGTGATGGGAGAGATCTGTATAGTTTTATTTTCGGTTTGCTGCACTAAACTAATAAACAGGAACCTAGAAAAGAACAGGACATTCAGTGAATATTCAGCCATTGTAACTATCACAGCTGATGAAAATTATTCTACAGTCACTAAATCATCAAAGCTGAGGCGCAGGAGAGGAAAAGAATTAAGCTACACCTCCTTTTATCCATCTGACCTGGAGGAGGAGGAGGAGAATGGCTGAAAAATATTCAGCTTTCTAATAACACTCCTGAAAGCTAAAGATCTCAGATGGAGATCTCTCCCCCTGTGGTGCCGGTCTGCAGCAATACTGGTAGATACCTATAGTCATGGTGTCTTTTAAACTCAAGTGTAGATGCTTGCTCTGAAATATGGCCAGATGTTTCTTAGCTTTTACTATTGCCAAACAAAATTGACCAATTTGTCAGCTGTCATAAATCAATATGGTTCAACAGACTTCAAAGACCAGTATAAGTGTGTGTGGTATATGTTGAAGTGTGTGTGGTACGTGTTGTGTCTCAAGTCTGTAAAGAAAGTTTACTGTCTAAGCCTTCTTCAACTGTCCTATGCAGTAAGCATATGATAAAGATCCAGGGAAGGTTTTGGCCAAAATGGCTTGCATGATCTACAGATAATGATTAAATATTTATTAAAAATGGGAAATGTAACACATTCATTTATTACCTCACCACTGGTGGATTGACATTTCAATTCCTTCTCCCACTCCTTTTCCCTTCAAAAAATGATTTCATATAAAGGCCTTAGACTTTTTGAATACCACACATTTTGCATTCTGCATTAACACTACGAATTCCTAAGAGGAGCTGGAAATATGCCAGTGAAACACCATACATTTATTCCTTTTATTCAAAAGGAGGTAGACAAAGATTCCTCTTTTACGCAGTAGGGGTAGGTGCACGGAGGAGGAGCATATTTCCCTTCAGTGCAGAACTCCATAGTATGCCCTATGGAGGCACAAACTACACAGTTAAAGTTAACAAATGAGAAAAAACCTTTTCCAGAAGGAATTTTTCCTGTGCATCCTCATGCTTCAGAACATTCCATTTGTTCAGAAGCGTGCCAATTTTAACTTCCAGTTCTTGCAGACAGAATTTTGTTTATAGGACCGATGTATTTACAGATACATCTACCAATTTGTGACAGCTGACCTGTCAAGATCAGTGCTCAAGAAACTAATTTCCAGCACTGTTAACCACAATGAGTACTGCTGTTATTTGATAAGGCCGTTAGAGTTTCATTCTTTGTGGAAATGTTCACCGTGTTCCTACCAGAAGTCTGAAGCCAAAGGTTATAGCACAGCCATCAGCTGATAGGAGATAAAGGGCTTTTAGACCTGATTATAACAAACAACCGCTTGCAGAATCAGCACTTGTAGGATGTATTTCAAAAACCAATGGTCTCTGGAACATATATTTAATGGCAGTCTGGGTGGGGGGTTTTGATTCTCAAGTTACTGGGTCACAGCAGCTCAAGTTTTGAAAACAGCTACTTTATTAAAGCTTTTCAACTTAATCTTCTCCCTAGCTTCTCTTTCTGAAATAGCCATATTGCTGGGAAACCTGTAGTTCTAGCCATGCATCAGAAGCTCAATCATCCAATAAAAACAAACCAGAGAAAACAACTGTGAAATTCAGACAAAAAGGTAATTTGTTGGAAAATTCTGACTCAAGACATGCTTCTGGCCTTTGTCAATATTTATGCATTTTCAATCAGAACTGCAAGGAAAAGCTTGGAGACAGAAAGTCACAATTTTAACATTGTTTTCAACCTCCACAAGCAATGTATAGCTCCAAACACACATACTCAACGCACAAGCAAAACAATTACATGACTAGATAACCTGGGAATGTCAAATGATAAAGGATGTCATCCAAAGTACACCTCATGAACCTGCTGTTCAGGAGTTTGTCCTGAAGGGTTCTGATATCTGTCAGGACATCCAGAGAAAACTTGGTATCAATGTAACTTTGGGGTTCCTGAGTTCCCGTCAATAAATTAAAAGCCAAATTCTACAAAGGAGTTTCATGACTTTGTTAATGATGCAGCTTACTTGAGCGATTAGTTCCCCAGGGGAAATCATACTGAGATGTTGTGGTAAACTCACATCAGAGAATATCAGAAACAACTCCACAGCAGTGTGAAGACCCTCATCAGCACAATGAGGCAGACCACGCTTCTGCTCAAATAAATCAAGGCTGCATGCATTAAGCACTGATTTGCAAGATTTAACACCTCCTGTGAACTTGATCAATTAGATTGCGAGCCTGCGTGCTGCTTCCTTTAGGAGATGAAACCAATGATAAACTCACTTATTTGTTACTCATCTCTTTGTCGGCAAAGTCTGCTTGTTACTGCTGCTCTACTACACAATAATTACTTATTCCTTGAATTGGGAACTTGAATCTAGTTTACCTAATTCTGCTGTGAATGTTCACACTGCTGGACTACAGCAGATGTCTGTCTCAGGCCCAAACAAATGGAGACGAAAATAATCCCAAACTACTAGAAAATACAGTCGAAAACTGACATTAGCATAAAAAATGAATATTTAATGTTTATATCACAACAGGGAATACGATCATCTACATTACTATAGTTTATGATGCAGTAGTTCCTGTCTAAATAATGCATGTCACTGCTGCCCAACACCATTTTAAGTATGACGCCATCCGAAACATGATCTACTTTTCAGGGAAAACGGGATTCCTGTAAGAAATAACACAAGATAATTTTTGGCAGATGTATAGTAATGTTTGAAAGGGCTGTAACCGATCCAGAGCATGCATCTTCTACCTTACCAAAACCTGGAAACGTTTGTTTGGTAACTCCTTCGGAGCTAAGATTACACTACCCAAACAAATTAAATTTGGGAACCCCTGCCTTGAAACCTGAAGAACTTCTAACAGACAAGAAATGGAAGAGAGAGCATGAGGCAGGAGTTCTCATGCTGTAAGACAGGGACACCTGTATCAACCCAGAGCACATTTTCTCTGAATATGAAAGCTGTTCTGGGCACGGAGTTAAATAAATTAATCTATGCCACTCACAATCTGATAATGCTTTTAGATTAAAGTTGAACTGAAATGGATTTCAGTTCGATGACAACTTGTTTCTTAAACTTGAAGTCGACACAGCGTATATCAAATATGATGCCCTTGTAGCATGTGTGTATATTTTGCATGCTGGGGCCTCTGACTCCCTTTGCCAGTCTTGCAATATGGCTAAACAATTACTGAAACATTTAACATTATAAAAGTAGATTTTAAGCAAACATGATAAATAAAAACCACTCAAAAAACCAAAATGTAAACAAGAAAATGAATGTTTTCAGGAGACAAATATGAAATAAGACAGTGGCCCATTAAATAAATGGAGTAAATTGGACACTGCTGTGTTGCAGGTCTAAGGAATAAAAGGAACTCCATTTAAATAGTAAGTAAAGAAAATATCTACATTGAAGCCCAGGATTACTTTTAAAATGTAGTATATCAGTAATCTAGGGAATTTGCTGCCATGTAATATCATTCACAGCAAGGTATTAGTAGGATTCACACGTCGGATTATGTGTCCTTCTTAAGGAACTGACAGGATTCCCTGAAACATCATTTCCCTTTTTATGACTGGAGTTGCCTTGACGGTACCAAAATCTTTTCATCTGAAATAAGGGATCATAATTAAGAAAAAAAGAAAAAAACCCAAACTTTGGACTGTGTATTTGTATAATCCATAGTTACATAAA